GGGATTCATGTGAGGAGATGATGTGAAAAGGTTCATATGGGAGGAACGGTGATGTTGTTTGTGCTGAGCTATGACCTAGTGTCGTGGTTGAGATTAGCACGACTGTTGTAGGAGAGGAAGGGCTGTTGGGATTCTGATATAGGTGGGGAAGAGGGCTAGGGGTTTGATTGGTGATTGGAAGCAATAGCCGTTGGCTTGAAAGTGGAGTTGGGTAGGGAGTTGAATGATTGGAGGAAGTGGAGGGAGGCACTTGTTAGCTGGGCAAAGATATGAGTTCAGTTGTGTATGACAAACAGGAGAGGATGAGTGTGTGTTGAGAACAGGTAGAAGAAGTGTTGAATGAAGGGGACTTTGAACATGTAATACGACTGAGTATTTATGTTTGAGAGTGAGGGAGCCAGAGTAGGTGTTTTCATGCAAAAGACACGATGGTCTTGGTTGAGTGTTTGTGGGGCTTTAGCTATTTCAATAGGGAGGGACGGAGGGGGAGCTAGCCGCTGTGGCATGTAATATATAGGGGGAGTTTCATGTGCAAAGGGAGGCTAAGGCTTGTGTTGGTTGGAAGAGCGGTTAAGACTATTATATTGCTTGTGTAGAAGAGTAGTAGTTGCCATAGGGAGGAGAAGAGATGGGGTTGGTTTTGCTCATGTGAGGAGAAGGCCTATGAGGGAGAGCTCAGCCTACGTGTATAGTAGATAGTGTAGGATATGTTTTTTTATTTAAGTTAGGAAGCTATGTAGGATAACATGTAGAGATTTGGGCGATTGGATGAGGAAGTGGCATTCGGGTAAGGTAGGTTTGATAGAGGTATTTTATTAGAATAATATATTAGGTTTTCTTTTGTTTTTTATTTTTGTATAATAAATATATATATTATAAAATCTAATTAAAATAATATTTGAAAAAAACAAAAGAGCAATGCATCACCTCTTGTGCAATTTTCTCCTCTTTTGTGCCTTGGCTAGCGCACGATGAGTTCCCCCCTTGCAATTTGCGGAAATGCCCATGCAATATAGTCATTTTTGTGTAATTTTGATATTTCGGACACAAATGTGAAGTTTGTTTCATGAATGGCGGCAACGTTTGGGCGACATTAAGTAACATTCCATCTATAGTTTGCCGATTTCGACCGGCCTCAAAGGTCTCCTTTAGGTAAATTCCGAACACATCGACGCTGTCTGTTTGACCATTAGAAGTCATTCGAGAAGTTTTGTGTGATGCGGCAGGGGAGGGGTTGGAGGGCTAATGGAGTGTGGCCCACACACTAATTTAGTTTCGGTTGGAGGGAATATTCAAATTAGGGGTTGTTTAGGGATTAGTAATTGTCATTTTGCTTTAATTAGACTTTTTCTTTTTGAATTGGAGACTTTCTCTTGTTGTTTTCTCTATTAAGTTGGAATTTTTGCATCAACTTTGTGAAATTCAACAATTCCTGCACTTGTTGTGGTTGTTTCCTGTTAAATTGGTATCAAAGCACGATTCGGGTACCTATGGTAGGAAGAAAAGTAGAAATGTTGGAAGGGGAGATTAGACAATTGAAATATGATTTTATAAATATTTCAGATTTCGTGAAGCAAATTTTGGCCATCCATGAAAAAATCGATGGGAAGTTTGCCATCATGGAGGATGTGATTAGGAAGTTACTCGAATTCCAAACCAAAATGGTGCCGTCGAAGGAGAGGGAAGCCACCGCCAACTAAGTAAGTGAGGAGATGCCACATTTGGAGCCACTTCCAGAGAGACTAGGGTTTTTTGGTGGAGGTACAAAGTTTGGAAGGAGAAAAAGATGGGGAGAAGATATAAGTGCCAGACATGGTTCAACCACCCCTATAGCAGTATCGAGGGGTGTTCTAGCCAATTCAGGGGTTGCCGCTTTCGCGGGAACGTGAGCATTCTATCATCTTGAAGGAAAGAGTCTCACTTATCAGTAATCGTCTGTATCGTCATCCCCAAATCCAAAATGAAGAGATTGAGAGATTAGTCAAGGAGATGCTCAAGGTAGGGATCGTTCGACCCAGTGTCAGTTCATTTTTTAGTCCAGTGCCATTGGTTAAGTGTTTCAACAATAGTTTACTTCATTCCACCTTGAGGACAAGGTGAGGCTTTGGGAAGGGAGTGTTGATGGACTGGCCGATTTGATTGATAGAAAATTAGGAAATTTTCTAATCAAGAGAGAGTTTTTTAAGAAGGTTCTTAATCAAAGGGAAATTGTTTAGGAATGTTTTAATTACAGTTGAGAAGGAATTGTTTAGGGAAAGAGGTTTAATTTGAATTCAAAATATAAGAGGGAATTAATTATTTAGGGAAGAGGAGGAATTTAAGGGGATTATTTAGGAAGTTTTAATTATAGTTGAGAGGGAATTAATTAGGGAAATAAATCTAATTTGAATTCAAATTTGAGAGGGAATTAGTTAGGAAAAGGGGGTTGATTTGGGAGGGAATTATGGGAGCCTATTTAAGGCTAACAATAGGATGATTTCATGAGAATGTTTTGAGTTTGCCGAAATTAGAATTTTTTAGGTTGTGAGGGCTCTAGCCGCCGGTTAGGGACTTGGGAGAGTTGGATCTTCCTCTCCAATTAAAGATCCAACTGCATCTTGTTGTTTTCTTTCATATATCTTGCATTAAAAAGAGTTTGGTGTGTTCTTCCTAAATTTTTTTTGTCGTTCTTTGATTTGGCTGAAATTGCATCAACTTCCTATCACATGATTAAGGATTTTTCTATTGCACTTGCCTATCTTAATCACCTTTTTTGGCTTTGGCCCTTTTTGATGCAATTTCCAACAATTGTATTGCTTTAACCACATACCTTGCAATACAAGAAAAAAAAGTTGTTCTATTTCTTTTAATCATTTCACCATCTTGTTTCTCTGCCTTATTATGGGTTACCTTTTTATTTCCAAGTTTAAGTTTCTTACATCTTTGGGATTTTCAAATTTCTTCTCCATGGCAATGGCTTTTACAGTTATTTTCATGGTGGTATCAATTGGAAAAAGTCTCAACTCCTCTCGAACCATCTCATACATACATATGAGAAAAAAAATGCTGTTCTATTTCTTTATTGTTTTGCCAATTTCACCACCATCCTAGAGAATCTTTCTTTAAGTTTGAGGGGTATTTTTCTATCATACATGAGGCCCGGTGCATTCCTCCACTTCAACCAATCAACTTGAATTCTACTAATATTATCCCCATCTATTTCACCATCACTCTGAGCAATAGACCCGAGATATCTAAAATGTGTACTCTTTCTTAATGACTTGATCGCACATAGTCACAATGCCTCCACTCGATCTATTGCTACTAAAATTACACTCAATGTATTTGGTTTTAGATATTTTCAAATGAGAACCGTTAGACTCTAAGATTGATCTCCATAATTCAAGTTTTCCTTCAACTCCCTCTCTAGTTTTATTAACAAGATGAATATTATCAGCAAAAAGCATACACTAGGGTACATCCTCTTGTAAATGTCTATTAAGAACATCCATGACTAAGGCAAAAGGATATGGGCTTAGAGTTGATCCTTGATGTAATCCAATTGAAATAGGAAAATACTTGGTCAGACCACCTTGTGTTTGAACACAAGTGATGACTCCAACATACATATTCTTAATGACTTAAATATAAGCATTATTAACTCCTTTTCTTTCTAGAACTCTTTAGAGTACCTCTTTTGGAACTTTATCATATGTTTTCTCTAAATCAATAAGTATCATATGCAGATCCTTCTTATTCTCTCTATACTTCTCCATCAAACCTCTTAATAAATATATAACTTCCATAGTAGACCTACCCGACATGAATCCAAATTGATTTTGAGAAATATTAGTATCACGTCGTAACGTATGCTCAATTATTCTCTCCCATAACTTTAATATATGACACATTAACTTGATTCCTCTAAAATTTGCATACTCTTATGCATCACCTTTATTCTTGAAAATAGAAACCAACACATGTTCTCCCTCATCCGACATCTTTTAAGTTTTAAAAATAATATTAAAAAGTTTAGCAAGCCAAGAAATTCTTTTATCTCCTAAGTATTTCCACAACTCTATTGGAATATCATAAGGTTCAACTACATTTCCACACCTCTATTGGAATGTCATCAGGTCCAACTGCTTTTCCACACATCATTTTCTTTAAAATCTCTCTAACTTCAATTTTATTAATATGTCAATAAAAATAAAAAATCCTTATTTTCATTTAGGATGCTAAGTTTACTAAAATCGATCATGTTCTTACAACCTTGATTAAAAAGCTTATCAAAATATCTCCTCCACCTATGTTGAATATCCTCTTCTAATTTTTTTTTTATCTTCATCCTTAATGCACGTCACTTAAACTAGATCATTCTTTCATCTCTTTGCTTGAACAACTTATACGTATATCTTTCGCCCTCCTTAGTATCTAATTTATTATATGAATCATTAAAAACTAAATTCCTTATATCACATATTATTTTCTTAGACTCGTTACGAGGCCCTCTATATTTTTTCCAATTTTTTGATCTTTCATAGCTAAACCAATTTTATGACAAAACTTCTTATTTTTGTTCTTTTCTTGCTCATTTTGATTCCATCACCAACCATTTTTTACTATTAGGAGCTTTTCCTTTCGATAGTCTAAGCACATACTTTGCAACATTTTTAATATCATTGACTACATTTTTCCCACAACTTTATTTTCATCTTTAAAAAAAAAGTTTCATCATACACAATCAAAACCTTGAGATCTTAAATCTTATTATTAAAAATATTTTTATTAGTATTTTTTAAATGACTCCATCTAATCCTAGGATAATATTTTACTTTATTGTATTCGTACTCTAAAAAATATTTTTGTATAATACCTGCACCAAAATTTATTTTTGTGCTTTGTCAAGCTTCTTAAAACTATGGATTTAATGGAAATAGTTATTATATTCAATTGAAGAATTACAGCTAGATTTCATTGTAGGGGCGGCCTTTGATATTAAACTGCTTTTCACATAACAGTGATGCTACTCGGTCAAAGGAAACCCTCAAAATTATGCAAGAGTACTCAAAGGAGTTCTCACGAGCTGTGGTTCATTTTATGCCGAGCTTCTATTCCATTGCAGCAATGGATGGTCAGACGGCTGAACATCTCCAAAAGGTTGTATGTCAATACTCAAGGGATGAGATCCTTACAGTAATGTGAGTCACATCTCTGAATGCAGTGCTTATTACATGGGTGTATTGATTTTTCTTTTTTAAATACTTTCTTACGTGTTACTTTATTTTAAGATTGAGGCTAGATTAAAAGCTTATTAACTTTATCCACTCATTGATAACTTACAGAAGCTTGGTTGACTGTGCAGGTGTATGGGGCATAATAGGGGCTGGGAGGAAGCTGCCTCCATGTTTTCTGGCTCTTCTATTGAATTAAAAACATGTAATGCTGCCCTGCTTGAAACTACTGGGGAATCATGGAATGAGGTGAGCTTCTAACATGTCTGTCTTAAATTTCTATCTTTTTTATCACTACTTTTCTTAGTAAAACTATCAACTTATTTCCATTCAAAATTAGTATCTTGTAAGTTAGTTAATGAGTCAACATCAGTAGAAGCTTGTTTAAATTCTAAAATTTCTGTTTTTTACGAGCAAATTGTATTATATTTTTATTTTTTAACTCTACATCTCATTTAGTTTTAATGATTACTAACTAATTATGCTTATTTTTTACACTACTAAAATATTTTGCATAATACACTTAAATTGCTTGATGGGTGAAAATGCAATAATTAAAGGATCAAATAGTCATATTTCCTGGTTATTTTTATATCGTTAATTATGCATAGTTTATGTACTCTTGTGCCTTTGTTGGTAGTAGGATCCAACCAGTCACTATTAAATAAGAATAGTTTTTTGTCGGGATAATATAACTGTATTATCTATTGCATTCATATATGTTTTGATCTCCTCCCTTATGGTATCAAGCATGTTGGCACATGGTTCAACATTTTTGTGTGATCCGGATAGGCGCTCCTTCATCCTAATAACACCATCTTCACCACCTTCTCACAACTATTACATTTCAAATATACTTATATATTGTCGCTGCCTCTCACATCAATTTGATTGCTATGTTTTCACGTCTGATCTTTCATATGACCAGACATGATTTTAACTTTGTCTCTAACCATATTCTATAGAACCCTGCAAAAAGATTCAAAATAAGTTAATTAAAATGCTGAAAATTATGTCAGCTCATGTTATTTGAAGGTTACATGAATGGTCTACTTATAATAGCTTATCCTCTTTTAAATTCTTATGTTCAGTCTAATTTCAACTGTTCAACATGTATTGCATTTCAAAAGGTACAAGGCAGAAGACTACCAGAGCAATGATTGAATATATAAGAAAATATAGAGGAAAAATTTCTTTCAGCTTAATTACTTAAAATGCCAACAAAGCTAACACAAATTAATAAAGCATTAAGAAATCATAAATTGTTTTTGACATATGGTGATCCAAAAGAACCCCCACGTGGATGCCCTTACTGTGCACCTTAAGATCAGCCGTAATAACACCATTAGGAAGATTGTTATTCCTAACAAAGGAACAAAAAAAACCTAAGTCCTTGGCAAACAACAATTGAAAGATAACAATGAGATTAAGGTCTCGTTTGGGACGGCTTTCTTCTTGCTTCTTAAAGTGGCTTTCTAGTACAAAAATTAAAATGTTTGTACTAAAAAGCCGCTTTAAGAAGCAGTAAGAAAGCCATCCCAAATGAAGCCTAAAGGTCCACTACACAGGAACAAAAAACCTAATCCTTTGTCATGTAACTTCTTAGAAGATCACCTGTGACGTCCTAGACTCTAAATTGGAAGAATTACACTTTTTTTATCTCTTAAACATCAACCAGAGTTCACATAATGTAATACAAGTGAAAAATATAATTACATTACTATTTATTAAATATTTATGTATCTGATAAGTTCTAAAAAAATATCAATAAATTAGCTGTATTAATATTCTCATATTATATCAGTACTATCTATCATATCTCATCACTATCTGTCATATGTCAATATTATCAATAGTATTATCGTGTATCAAATATTTAGATGAGAGTATCTTGATTTTAAGGGTATCTTGATCTTGAAGGTACCTTGATCTTGAGGGTATCATATTATATATTTGATATCATTTGGTATATCATTTCGTTACACCTTACGGTGTTTCATATCTGCCTTTTGGCTTCCCAAATTTTATACACATATGTCAAATATTTCATCATATCAGATCAATATCAATATTGCAATTCAATATATGCCAATCATATCAATTATTTTAGCACATATCACATTCAAGTATCATCGTATCAAAATCAAAGTACATAACTCTTTAACCCGTTTTCAGCATACCTTTTTTCTAATAATTTCACATAGAAATTTTTAAACATTTAACTAGTGAAAATACAATAAAATCATATATATAATTATTTAGAATGATCAAATTGATAACTTATTAAAAGTTACCTAGTAAAAACTTACGAAATCTGGATATAATATATTTTTGATAGATGCAGGTGAGATAAAAATCGTAGAAATCAAAATAATTGAAAATATGAGTATAAGAGTTTAGTCACTTACTATGAGTAGAACAACTTTTGTAACATGAATGATGGAAGAAAAAGCCCTGGATAACCTTCTTTCTCTCCTCTCCTCTCCCCCTTCTCCTTCTCCTTCGTTCCTTCCCCGATAAGAAATGAAAATTAGAGAGGGATGGTGGGTGGTGGGGATATTTATATTAAAATATAAAAAAAATATTTTTAGTGTTTGGTGCCATGGCGCCTAAGATCCAGGGCTGCTGTGCTGCATGCCACCCCCAACGTTACTATATAACAAAGAGCTCAATGCCGTGGAGGCGCTTTCCCAGCGCTGCTTCACTTCTGGATCAAAATTTTCAAACAAATTCATTTAAAATTTTTGGGCTATTACATCACCTATCCTAAGAGTGCTTTATTATAAAAATTACATATGTTATAACAAATATTGTCTATATATTACATGACAATGAGATCAAAAGATGCTATCAAATTCTGATATCAATTATAATGTTGCATCATATCATACAATATATTATATTTGTTGATCCTACTTATTCCATTCTAGTTTATATCTCATAACAGTAAGATTGAAAGTTTAAATTAACAATGAACAAATACAAGCAAGAAGTGATTTGGGTCGAGCACTTTTTGTGGCTTCCGATTTGATAGCAACAAGAAGCTTCCTTAACGACTCTTTCTAAACTCTACTTCATGCGTAGACGAAGCAGTCGAAGGAAGCGAAGACTCCTTTTAATGGTTTTTTCAAACCTCTGCTTAATGTGCAATCAAAGGAGGCAGAGAGGCTTACTCTTTTGAAACTTTACTCCGCTCATAGCCCAAGTAGTAGCACCAGAGGAAACACAAACCTTAGATGGACCTAAGGTAATACAAGGAAAAGTGAATCGGTTTCCGATAAGTTAAAAGAAATTAAATTAAATATAGTGAGGCGTTCACCACATGATAGTGAGGTGAGGTGTGCCTTTAGCCAAATTGCGGCATACGCCTCACGTTTCAAACTCAAGGCGTGCACCTCGAGGCTTTTTTGTTCTTAATTGTGCTGAGACATGTCTCATATTGCACAATTTTAAACAATGACTTAACTATATACTTCTCCCATCTATCTTTCAACTTCTTAGTATATATCTTTCGCTCTTCTTGCTAATTCATACATATATCTTTCGCTCTTCTTAGTATCTAATCTATTATAAAAATCACTAAAAATTAAATTATTTGCATTGCAAATTGTTTTCTTAGACTCCTTACAAGCACCTTTATATCTTTTCCAATTATTTGAGTTTCTATATCGAAGATAATTTTGATAGCAAATAAGTCCTCACGGGTTGCCTTGCCTATTGGGTAAACTGATAAAACCTATTTTTTGCCTGCTCTAATATCTGAATTATAATACTTGTATTCAGGCATGTCAAAAGCTGAGCTTACCTTCTTTCACCTTCTAAGCAACTCTCAGATTGAGCAATTAACCTCAAATTTTAAATTTAAATTCATGCCTTGCAATGGACTTAAGCTATAACCCAATTAATTTGAATCATTGATGCAAGCAAAAATTAGGAGAAAGCCTAATTTTTGAAAGCAAAAAGACAACCTTCCTAGGTAATAGAAAAATACACGAAAATCTAAAAAATAGACAAAATAAGAAACAATACAACTTTTATAATATAAAGACTCTTACAAACGACACTTACAACTTTACTTTCATAATAGAAAGACACCTAAAGGAGCTCTTCTTTACTTGAGACGAAAGATACAGATGGGGTGGTACTTGCGGATAGAAGAAAGAGGTTAGAAGACTAGACGAGGTATAGCTCGCAAGCTATAGAGAGGAGAGGAAGGTGAAGGGCATAGCTCATAAGCTATTCCAAAGAAACCCGTAGGTTTTATCCAAAAATCATCATCACAACAACCTTTTAAAACAACCACAAACTCTCTATATATAGGCACAAAAGGAGAAGAAGAAGGGCTAAAAGACACCACAAAACAACCCACAAGAAACTGCACAAAAAACAGGAAGGCCACGGAAAGCCAGCCATTAAGCCACGGGAAACTCAGCCAGCAAGCCACGGGAAAGCAACCAGAGAGGGACCCGAGGAGCCAAGCCAGGAAACGAGGCAGAGGAATTCACAGGAAAGCAGCAGGGAGAAAACCGAAAAGACAACCATCCCACAACAATAAATCACAAGGAAGAAACCAAGGAGACACAATAATGGGAAGAAACATGAATGGGGAAACCAAAGAGTCAAAGGCAAGGGGGAATGAACCTAATTAAAGCCAAATTATGAGCTGACTAAGTAGTGGAAAAGCATTTATGAGCTGATACCACTTAATTCCCAAGAATTTAGCTCAAAATCAAAGCAACCAAAGCCCAAACTGTGAGACAACAAGCAGCCCAAAGAATAAAATATTCATCTTGTTTTGACCCCCCATTGCCTACATCAATTCTCCTTCGGTTGAAAGAATTCATCTCCCGATGAGTTGTCTTTAGATTTCTTCCGAGGATGCGAAGAAGGGCATCAAGCTCTTGAATCTTTGCCTCGTATTTCTTCAAAATCTTCTCACGTTCTTGTTTGAATTGGTCATGCATAAATTTCTTTTTCTTCTCGAATTTCTCTGTACATAAGAAAATTTGATATTGAATTTTATATAACTCGTTTTGTAGGGGATTTGTAGAACTTCCTTGTGATGGAATTTCTTCTACAGTTGGAATCTTCACATCCTGAATAGGTGGTTGATTTATAAATTTGACATGGTCAAATTCTCATTGGGACTCATTTGAATCTTGATACGAGGCTTCTGAAGGATGTTGTATGGACTATCCATTTAGACTCAAAACAAAAACTCAAAAACTCTTATGACACCAAGACTCAAA